AACTCTGATAGATTTCAGTTCAAAATAAAGGACCGAATATTACTTATTTTAGTTCCAATGGGTGACCAAATTTTTTGTCATTTAAATATTGTTTAAAAGTTTACATCACTTAATTAGAAAATTATTTGAAAAATTAAAAATTTATTTGAAATTATAATAGATCCCGAACTAAATCTTTCAAATTGTTTAAACTATATGTACTAACTTATTTTAAAATATATGTATGCTTAATTCATGTTTTTGTTTTTATTGTAATAAATTCATTTATATTTAATTGGATTCATATGCATCCATTAAAAAAACCTTAATTACCTTTTGAGATGTACAAATGGATAAATTAATTATTTGTATTAAATTATGGATTTTTCATAGTTTAGTAAAATTTTATTTTATAGTTTATTAATGTATATTGTTAGATATATTACTTTTATCTTATATTTTTAGTTAGTTTGTTATTATTTTTTATTTGTATTTTCAGCTTTGTTCATATTTCTTCTATTAAAAAGAGAGGACCTATATGCACTACAAGAAAAAATTGAATTACATACAGACAAAATCCGTATATAAAGCTCAAAATCCGTATAAAACACTTGGTTACATACGATTTATATACGGACAAAAATTCGTATATAAAACTATCGTAGATAAATTATATACGGATATATCCGTATATAATTTATATACGGATTTTACATACGGATATTTCCGTATATAATTTATCTACGATAGTTTTATATACGAATTTTTGTCCGTATATAAATTATATATAGAAAAATTCGTATAAAAAATCCGTATGTAACTTATGGTTTTATAAAAAAAAATTAAATAATCTCACATCTACTGATAAAAATCAAATAAAACTGTCAAATTATAAAAAATAATACCAAATATTTCTCAATTTTTATTAAAGCATGATGTTTACAACTAGATGATCCTACCTCATTGTAACTAGATTGTCATCGGATATTACAGAAATTAAGACAGAGGTAATTGACTATGCAATCACTACTACAAAAAAGTTTAATAAAAGATTTCAAAAAATAAAAATTCAAAAGAAAATATAAAATATTGGTTTTATTATATACAAATTTATTGGTTCTATTATATACAAAAAAAAAATATATAAAATATTAAGAAAAAAAAAAATATATAAAATATTAAGAAAAATATGAAAAAGAGAAAAATATCTAAAAGAATGTTCATAACTACTAATACACTAATATTTCAAAACTCTCCACCATGACTTCTTGCTCTTCTAAGTAGTTGTTATTGATTCATTATGCTTCTTTTGCACATCACCATCTGCTGTTGGAAGGAAAGGGCTTGCACCATGAAGAGAACAAACTGAATACGAAAACCCTTTAACTTTGTTCAATCATTGCCCATACTCCCTTCAACTCCCCAAATCTTAAAATTGTACCATCCACATAGAATTAACCTACAGAAAATAAGTATGGTCAATCATGTTATGTATCAATTCATTAGAGAATTTCAAATAGTTGTTACCAGTTACCAGAAAATACACCATGTTAAGTACTTTTCTAATTATTAAGAGAAAAAAGACAATTAAATCGTAAATATATAACTAGAAAGTAATATGAAGCCGTTGTGACAATGACTATATATATCTTACCAAAATGTAAAAATCTCCTTGCCAGCCCTTATAATGAACCCAAGGGATTCCATAACAGCCATTCAAAGTACTTTCCAATGTAAAAAATATAAAACTGAGAACTACATAAGTATCATTAGATCAATTGAAGCTAAAAGTATACTTTCTTAATAATCATGTTCAAACACAAAAGGAAGATTACTCACCTGTAAACTTGCCACTCATAAGGTGACCCTTAATTGCAACCCTTCAACCAGTTCTTTGTTTCTACAAACAAGCAAGGAATTTTTAGTAATTAAATACAAATGCAACACAAAAAGATGACAATCCCAAAATATTAAAATTAATAGTTTATACATATAACTATAAAACAGAAGTTAACATGAATAACCCAAAATATTTTAGGCAAGCATAGACTGAAATAGTAATATTCAACTAATATTTATATTATCCTAGGTTTTCTAGAGCTAAATACTCAAATCAAAATTCTATATTTTTAGTAAATGTTAAGTGCTGAAGGTAAAAGCTTTACCAACTCCAAAACATAAATAAGCTCCATAGCAATAGCTTTGAATTGGCGAGACACCATTATGAAATCTGGATCTTGCTCCACTTATTCCAGCTCTAGATTATAAAAATGGAAGCAACTAGTCTTCAAAGATAATGAATTATATTTTATCAATGGTTGATTCATCATGAAAGAATTGTAAAATTCTTTTTTTCCAGTTTATCATAATGCTAAAATGCCATACTATTAA